GGTCGTCCCCTGTGGTCACCCTGAAAACCCCGCGTAAAGAGGAAGGGATCATGACCATGATCATCCCCAAGAGGTTTCTTTCACCAATGATCCATCACTGTCCAAGTCCAAGAACACATCTATTGCAATATGATGCAATATGCACATATGAATAATATGCATGTAATACTTTGCATTTGGAGTTGACACATGAGCCATATAACACAATTATGACATATGGTACGGTACTTGCAGCACTATGTCAACTCCGAGTGTCTGGGGTGCTTAGCAACCCAGGCACACATCAGAGTTTACTTGATTCGAAGCTTGGCACGAAACATCACAGAACTTACTTGACTCAACCCGCAGACACTGTCAGCTCCATTTCACTACCCTCACTGCGCTCGCCAACTGGCGCGAATCAGGACCTGATTCCAAGCCAGGCTGAGATGGAAATCCCTCGTCGGGCCGGGCGCCCGCAACCCATTCGCTGCTCGCTACGCACAAGCGCGGCGTTCGTGGGCAGCGATCTTTTGTGCTGCCTCTGATTGGGGCCAGATGTCGCCAACGTCTTGCAGTTCTTCTTTTTTGGTTCTGAAAGACCCAAGATGTCAGCAACGGAAGTACGTTTTGCTCGGTATACACATATATATATATATCCCCTTCATAAGACATAATATGTCTTATGAAGGGGATGCTTTTGTAGTCAAGGTCTATTGAGTGCCACCAGTACTAGTGTATCTATGAGCGGCAAAATCGAATCATTTCATTGATTCTACCAGCGGACCCTCGTTTCACGGGTGTGTTTCTTCCGAGAAAAAGGGGCCACAAGACCTGCTTTCAGAAACAGCTTGGAGTCAGTTTTGAAGTGACAGGAGTCGACATCCGATGAAACTGAACATTGTTTTGAGCCGTGTCCACACTGTCCAGCTGCTTCAAACATCTTCAGACATATCCCTTCACACTTTCGGGTTTTCTCATGCTTTTTGGTTTGGGTTTTCAGGGGATGTCATACAAAGAAACAAGATACATGATATACATTTCCGCAGGCATGGCCTTGCTTATGGGCCTGTGCATCTGGCTCATGTTGGAGGCCAAAGTTATGTAGAGAACTTAGACCACCAACTTCCAACCCTGCTGGGGATGACGGGACCAGCGATGTAGGCGAGGTAGGCAAAACATGGTGTGTTCTGAAAGATTCAGGCAGACATGCTCATGCTCAGCGTCACCTTGACCTTTGTGACATGCTTTACTTTGTGAAAAACATGTGCGTCAGCAGCATGTTTATACAACCTTGAAGAAACATACTGCATGTTTGATGCCCCATGCCCATGCTACACAAATACTGTACACAGTGTGTCATGCAAATACGACCGATCCAGCATGATATCCAGCATAGGCTGTGTCCCATTGCCAGTAACAGTCGGTAACATATTATTCAGTAGAACAAAAGGCCTGCAACCGCAACCTAACCATCATCCACTGGGCCCTGGGTGTCTATGCCGTATACCCAAGATATACTGCGTCAGTACTGCGTCGAGACGCATGTTCTTGCCCATATGGGAGACATATCGTCAGTCCCATCCGGACCCACCATCTGGGCGGGTGGAAGTTGCGTCAATACAGGAGAGGTTGATTCGGAGGCGAAATCGAGTTGCTCCTCCACTGGATTTGGAGGCGAAATCAGGCCGATGCCGCCACCAGCTTGGACTAGATGTGAACTTCACGGAGAGAACACGTAGGAGTTTGATGGAAGAAAGGTAATTACTATGACTTGCCAAAACCCTACGGCTTCATGTTTATCCCAAGTAGCATCAAAAGGATTGGTTCCCTGAGTGCTCTCAACGTCAATGCTGATGTCATTTTGGTGCAAAGAAAACCCTCAGTTTCCCAGTTGGTCAGAATTTTATTGAATGCGCGATGAACGTATTTAGGTCGATACCACTTACTTGTTGTGCAGGGGTACACGAAGCGCAGAATCCAGGTTGCTGCAGTAGAGATGGCTCCCCAATCAATACTGAGTCATGAAAACGTATTTGCTCTCCAAATAAACAAATCGAACAAGTCCGGAGTTTTTGCCCGATGTTTCGAGAAGATCCTGATTAGTCGGTCATCCATACGATCAGTCGGTATGGGGTTTATGAGGTTGGACGTGTGCATCGTGTGCATCGTGTGCGGCATAACCTGATCCACGTTGGCTACTGGTGCATATCAGGATTTCACAAAGAGTACCGGGAAGGAGATCGTGCTCCGGCAGATGAGTGAGCTTGGAAAACCAGATCTCCAACTGGCCATTTTCGTCCAGCTTTGATTCCCGAGTCTATGGTTCCACAGAACAGGAGTAAAGTATGGTAAAGTCACACCCAACGAGGCAACCTTCTTGTCAACCTGCATCTCCCGCTTCCTTGGCTTTCCGAATTCAATTTTCACCGCTGTGAAAGATCACATCGGACAATGACGGAGGCAGTTTCAGACAGCGCATGTGTTTTTGTCTTTTTTCGGACTCTCTTGCTTAGAGTCCTAGAGATAGCAAAAGAAATGCCTCCTGCTAATGGTTTCCTGGTGTCAAAGGAAGAATGCGGCATGCGTTACAATTTGATGCCAGTCCTATCTTTGGGAGTATTGAAGTCTATATAATTATTCTTGACACTGCCCATGCAAGCAGGGCTTACCTCAGGGTCATTTCGGTGGCGCTGCCAGAGGCAATTAAAGGGATCAATGACAATGCTTTTCTAGTGTGGTTTGCAGAAACCATGCTTCAGTTGATATATTTTACTAGGGATGGTTGGAGGGTGGCCAATGTTTCCCCTCCAAGGCCTGAGTGTATCATGGTGCCTGTCACTGTAGCAGCAATATACAATATATATATATCGAAAACAAAACACATTGGATTTGGAGTTTAAGAAGTTGGGACCACCGAATGGCAGTGACTTGATCGGCCAACATGCCATCTGACTTCCACGAGCTGAAGCGCCCTTCAAAGCAAGTCCGAGGGCGCCCCCAAACCTTCCGACAGCGCTGAAAGAAAAATGAAAGCAGGAAACACTTAGGCTGTACCTAGCTTTCATTTTTTATATGGTCCTGCACCTTAGGCCATAGACCACTGGCTGCGTTTTCTTAGGAAGCGCTGTACCTGAACCTATATGGCATTGTTTTTTGATAGCCCTTCTTGATCCTTCATGGGGGGCCCTTCTTAAGGCCTGCCCGAAACCACACGACAGGATAGAGGGGATGAGAAGTGAATTTGGATATTTGGGGTGCTTAGTTGGAAAGACTTTGGATGTAGTTTTGTCAGTAGGGAGGTGGTTCACTTGTAAAAGTGTTTTTTTTGTAATTTGTTCACGCCTCGTTGTCCTCAATTCAATTAGAGCATCTCAAGGCGGATGTACAGCGCCGCGGGGAGGAAGCCGAAAGCAGAAGGAAAGGATTGGCTGCCTTGGCAGCAGTTTGGATCAGCAAACAGGTAGTGCAGTCTCCCTCCCTATCAATATCCAAAGAATCACACGAAGAGCCTAACTTCTTTGTTGTGTACACGGCAGCGAACACTTTGGTTGCCTTTGCACGAAGAGAAAGTGCGAACACTTTGGTTGCCTAAGTTCGACATTAACTTTACAGTCCTGGTCCTGCTGAATCAGAGGCTGGTCACTGAAGGGTCCAGCTGAGACTTTTGGCATCAGGATGGTCTGTTGCAGAGGATGGTCTCCTTGAACTTTTTCGGTGTGGAAAAGGTTGTGGTCTCTTGAAATGAATGAGGAAGGAACAAAGAATGAACACACGCTTCACCAACAAATGTTCCCCCCGAAGATTCGTGATTCATGATCATCATGGTGTCCCAAATCTATTTTGGCTCGTAGGTTCGCAGATTTGGATTTGGCCACTTGGCCATAACTTCTCTAGACAACTTGGTCCACCCCATGGCCACTGTCGCAGAGTGGTCTCCTCCCAGTTGAGTCTTCCTGGCCATGAAGATGGCCAGGTGCGTTGTGTGCCACAGCTGAATCAGGTGGAGAATCAAGTGGATTGGATGTAGTTGTTGATTCGATGAACCACTTGCATTTGAAGACGTCCATATTTTTGGTGCTTGTTTTGGGCACACAAAAACAGCTGAACAAATCACCAACCCCTGCAGCAGGCAGGGTCGGAGATGCAGAGATTCTTCATTTCGCGTCAGTCGCGGGTGTTTTGGGGTCCCACGTCGATCGAAAAGGCACAGCCGCTCCCCATCGAAAAGGTGCGGCCATGGTCCGCACAGTTCTACCCCCAAAATGTGCGACCCAGGTCCGCTCAGATGTGTTTGTTTGGGATCCCTTTCAAGGAGCGCAATCCGAACGGAACATATTGCCTCCGAAATGGATTCCGAGTGCTGATTGCTAAGTTTGAGTGATTCTGAGCGTCCGATGATGCCCATAGTTCAAACAGCATCCCATTCTCGTCATTTGTGTCATATCTCCCCTTCATGTTTGTCATCATAGAGCCTTGATAAGATGCTAATCCACAACTTGATGGCCAGAGGTATCCTTGTGCTTGTCGGTTCTCCCCATGTTTCAAGAATGACAACCCAGGCTTCATTGAGACCCAGGCTCCATTCACTGGGACACTGCGTGGCAGACCCCACCTGCGTCTGGCCGGAGTTTCGCCCCGACTGCTGAGCAAAGCGGGCCCCGAAAAAAGGGAGGCTCGGATGGGGGCAGATGCCCTGGGTTGGACCACTCACGATCGGGCACCGGGCACCTCCTTCCTCCAGTTCGGCATCGCGAGCGACCTGTGACTGGGACACAGGTAGTGACACAGGTCAACTCTCAGTCGGACACTCCGGGGTGCAAGGTCAACTCGTCACTGTCCTCGATGGGCCTTCAGTCCCCAGCAACTCCGCCGTCTGAGAGCCAGTCTCTCCATTCCAAACAGCTTACGTGGCCATGTTTTGCAGCTGTACCAGACCACCATCGAGCAGGAGAAAAACCATGAGAACGGTGTCCATGCCCACCGTTCCACCGTTCGCGGTCACGGTCCACCGTTGGCAGGGCTGCACCACCGGCGTGCGGCTGTGCCGGGTGTTCCCTTTGGGATCCTCTGCCCAAGTCATGCAGGCGCCGGTGTCATCGGGTACGGCGCATGGATTGTTGGAGTGGTGGTGGATAATTCATATATGGATTCGTATGGTATTTGCAGGCAGAAATGACAGACTATGACTTGTGGTTTGCAATGTGAAGAATCATCCTGATGCATCTTTGGAATCTCAATATTCAATATTGATAGTGGTTGCAATCCTCAACACAGACAGGCATAACTTCAGACACCAACAACAAACAACTTAAAGATACTAAACGCAATACTTCATGACTGTGGAAGTTCTTTCCAAGCAAAACCTCAAATGTTGGGTGTATTGAACCAACAAAGAAAACGAGTGCTGCCGATTTCCAGCCTCAGGAGGATGATGTCTTGCTGGAGATCGACGGAGTGGAGATTAGCCAGGCAGTCCGTGACCAGAGTTGAGTGAACGCTGAAGAGATTCAGCTCAGTTCAGGTGGAGAGTGTTCACTATCTTCGGATGTCCGACTTGGGACTCAGGACTCAGACGATTCAATGAGCACCAAAAGTAGTAAGTTAGTTGAGTGAACACATGTGAACACTAAAAAAGGTTTGTTTCGGACTTCCTTGTACTGTAGCACTGTATTGTAGTGCGGTATAATTCTTTGGAATACCAAGAGACTTTTCAGTCGTCAGACGATTCTCCATGGTGAACATCAGGTCAATGAAGATTGTTCACATTGGTTGAAACACGGAAAAACATTGAGAAAAAGATACAAAACTGCTGGAAGGTGATATTCAACGTTGGATTTCCTGTGCTTCATTGGAGAGGGGTATTATGCCTACGTGCGTGGGCTCGAAGGGCCGGGCCTCTCAGGGCCTTATGGGCCGGTCTGCCCTGGCCACGGGGCTTCTCCACACCAATCCTTGTTGCGGCAGGATGCCACCGTGCCCTTGCGCGACAATGCCGGTGGGCTCAGATGGGGGGAATGGATTGATTGGATTGATGATAAGGTTGATTCAATCCTCAAGCAGGTGAGAACTCCCGAAGCAACCCTTTCCCGAACTGGCCGAATAGTAGTCCAGATTCAGAATCCTCCGAGGAGATTTGATGGATCTTCAAAGGAGTCCATAGATCCGCAGATGGTGCTGTCTCATGGTGTTCACCGGATGGCGTAGGATAGGAGACTCGACTGGGAATCTCTTCGGACCACCTGGGAATCTCTTCGGACCACCTCCCCAACGAACACGACGTCCTGAGGACGTCCTCATTTTAGAAAGCTGTTTTGCGACGTCCGGCACGGTTGTTTGGATTTCTTCTGATTTGTTTTTGGATTTCGTCAACCAGAACGTCCACAAAAAACACCGTCTATATATAATACGTTTGATTCATAAAACCATCCAGGCCTGGAGATGTACAGCCATTCTAGATCCGGCGCCAGACACTCCGTGCAATACTTACATTGACCGCGGGTCAACCACCCCAAATGACGTATAAATGCCAGCCCATGGAGTATTCGGGAGTGTTCTGGACCTCCAGATTGCTCCAGATTGATCATCTCAACCTACAGGCTGTCGATCGGATTGGAAAGGGATATGGACTAGTCCTCATTTGGGTAGTGTGTGTTTGCTAGCAGGACCCCTTGGCCCAATGGCTCTTGATGGTCCTTCTTCCAAGGGGGCTTAGGCCTGGCAGGTCTCCATGTGGTGCCTAATACCTCGATGTGATCGTGCCGCAGGAGCGCATCCACTTCGGTCATCTCGTCACCAAGCACATCGCAGGCGCCTGGGGATCATCAGTCGCCGCGGGGGACGTGGGACCATGAGGGGGGGGCCAAGCGGAAATTCAAAAGGTATGACTATCACCCCTCCTAACTAAATGGTTAATGGGGGGGGGGTACGTGGTGGCTAGCCATTTTCCATTAGCCATTTAATTTTGTAGGATTTGTATATGTGTGTATTTATTTTTGTTTTTTTTGCATGCTGATATACAGATCAACTGGCAGGTGTCATCGGTGAGGTCGGAATGAATTTCATGACCATACCATTCCACATTCATCGCCAGTGGTTGGATGTGGTTGGATGTGTTGATAGATGTTGGTATGTTGGTATATCTTGACTTAAAATTATCACATGACGATTGAAAACATATGAACACATACTGTATTTTTAAGAATGGTGCCTGGTCCGCGCACCACAGCCAATTGTTTTTGTTCCAGCAACATCCAGTCCGTAGTCTTTTGTCATCGGTGAAGCCGGTCACTGCCCCAGCAGATCTTCGATGATGATTGGTAGGGCATGATGGTACGTGCTTTTTCATGAAGATGTTGAAGGTGAAGGTGTTTGAAGGTTATTGAACCTTGAGTGAAGATGAGGCAGGCAGGTGCAAGTAGGTGTTGGCCATTGAAGCTAGCAGCTAGAGTTTGCAATATGTTGCAGTATCTTGCAGTGCACTAACCTGACTGAATTGCAGCAATGTTGTTGTCTCAAGTGATGCTGAGATTTGCTGATATGTATGTCAGCTTACTTCAACACACTTTAACTAGAGCTTCATAACAACTATGCAGAACTACTTGTAGCTAGATATAGTTTTGCATATCTTTGCACCAGCTTGTATCAGAATATTTTAGGATACCTTAGGACACCATATGTATCAACGAATGTCACCAAATTTCTCCAAACAACATCAAGCTTCAATATATGTGGTTTGATGTGACTTGATGTGACTTGTAAATTTGCATGATTTGCACCATGTACGTTGTGCTTGACTTTGATGTGCCGGGGGGGTGTAATGGCTAGCCAATTTCAACGGGGGGGTTGCGGATTCAGCAAATCAGCAGATTACATGTGGAAAGTATGGATTCATGCCGGCTGCACATCCGGAATTTCCTTGGCGCTCAATAAAGACACATGGGTGGAATATGCTGAGTGGGTGCAATATGGTGCAGGCAGAAAAGTTTTTATGCTTTTGTTGAATGGTTTCTTGTGCTCATGCATTTTCACACGTTTTCGCTGGCTACTTTGAGCTTGTAGTACCGCAGTGTTTTATTTGGATCACGTTTTGCTTTTAAGCTGTTTGGTGCTTTAAGGGATTGGTCTTCTTGGTCTTTGCCAAGAAACATCGTATAACGTAGTCTGTCATAGTCAAAGCATATCAATATCACAATTTTTTTGCGCCATGATGCCGGTGATGTGTTCCTTTCTGCTTGATGATTGTTCAGTACTTTCTTCACCCTGTGCATTGGTGTTCTCCGCTGCTCCTTGTTGCTGCAAGATGATTCAAAAACACTGAAACGTTTAGAAGCATGATTGGGAATGTACTGAAAAGCAATAAAACAAACATGTGGCACTTATGTGACAAAAATCCCGCTGTGTCCTAGTTTGTTCAAGAATTTGCTACATGACGTCCTGCGACTGCCTTTATGTTGCTGTGGCGGTCCTTATGTTCCTATAGCGACACATCGTTTTAACATGCTTCAATTGTTTTCAACCATTTTCAACTGCACCATACAGCCTCACTAATGCTCAAAGATGTCCACACGTCCGCGAGATCACCCGTGAGTACGTGTGCCTTTGGAAGACATTCTATCCAGTGTCTTTCGCAAAACACCAGACCTTCAATTTTCAACACCTAGTTTGGCAAAAGCTTTCAAAAGTAGGTGTTGTCCATTGAAGCTGGTGATGTTGTGGCTGGAATTTGTTTTCGGCAATTGGGGCATGTCGTTCATGGTCTTTCACGCTGGCCAATCCAACGACCTCACAAGGTCAAGAAAATGCCCTAGCTGCCCTAGAAGCATGGGTGAGAAACGGGCGAATCATTCAACCTTAGTCATGAAAGGCAGCTGCTGCTTTGTTCTCTTTTGCTTTATGTTGTCAGCACTGTGGACATGATATGACATAATCTCACCACCCTTTAAGGGGGGTTAATGGCTACCGATTCATGCAAGTTTCCTGTGGAAAGCATCGATTCATGCCGGTTGCACACCCGGAACTTTCTTGGCGCTGAAAAAAGACGCCTGGCTGGAATGCGCTGGGTGGGTGCAATCTGGCGCTGGCAGATTTTTTTCATGCTTTTGTTGAACGGTTTCTTGTGCTCTTGCATGTTCATATGTCTTCACTTGCCACTTTATGCTTGTAGTACCGCAGTGCATTATCTTGCTCTTTATCTTGCTCACGTTTTGATGTTTAATCTCTTTGATGCTTTTGGGGCATTTAACTGCATTGGTCTTCTTGGTCTTTGCCAAGACACGTAGCGCATCGTAGTCTGTCATAGTCAAAGAAAGCGTATTAATATCACAATTTTGCGCGATGATCAAGCAGTATTGGGGCTCATCTTAGTTGAGCCGGTGATGTGTTCCTTTCTGCTTGGTTGTTGTTCAGTACTTTCTTCACCCTGTGCATTGGTGTTCGACGTTGCTCCGTGTTGCTGCAAGATGTTTCAAGAACATTGAAATGCTTAGAAGCATGATCGAGAATGGTGCGAAAAGTTTAAAAA